GTGTCACTGGTGCAGCCAGGCAGTCTGGTGAGTCGGGTGTGGCAGGACAGTGCTTGTGTTCTTTTTTCTGGTGTGAGTCATTTGAATAAGAATTCATAACTGCTGGTAGAGGCAGTATGTTTCTACATGTGAGTCCTGGTCTGACAGACTCAGCAGTTACCTCTGAGACAATAGAACAGAGCACTCACCGTGGGGCTCATGTTGGTGGGGAGACCTTGTAAAAAGTATAACAGGGAGCACGCACCTGCAGAGACAGAAGGTAGCCCTTGTCCTGTGGCTCCCTCAGGAGTCAGTGTAGTGTGACTATGACCCCATCGAGGAGAGCGAGGCGGCTCTTTATGGGCAAGAGGCTAGTCTTTATGAGGAGGGTGTGAGGCTTTCTGGAAGGTTAGATATCCACAGGGGCAGGGGAGAAGGCTCAGAACAGCAGTGATGAAATCCGGACCCCCTGGAGACTCTCTTTAAAGGTTTAAATTCTTAGTTGATGTTTCTTTTGAACTATTCCTTAGGATCTGCAAAGATAAAGACCTTTCTTCCCTCTGCTCCATTCTTGAGGCAGCTTTGTATGCAATGTGGTGAGGAATGCAGAGCCCGCTACAGAGAGGTAGGTAGGATTTGTCCGTGCTAAATACTGCTGGCTGTGAAGCCCATCTGCTAAGTGAGCTGCTTGGAGAAGTGCAGAAGTCTCCCTCATTTCCTGTGCTGTTACAAAGGAAGATGGTTATACTACCCTATTTGATATACTACCCTATTTGATAAGCAACTTCATTGTGCAACCTCGTCTGTCTGGTCTATGAAAATCAGAGTTCATTTATTTTGGAAAAGGCACTAACTATATCTTTTCCCCACTTTATTGACCTCTGCTTTTAGAATATGGAAGGAACAGTAACACAGAAACATGCAGATATAAAAACATGAAAACATATGACAATATCACCTGTGCTCCAAAACACTCTTGATGTCACTGTAAAACTGAGAGGCCAGCAGCAGCATAGTTTTTGGAACTTCTCAAATTTTCCAACAATCTGAGATAGAAGAACTCAACAGCAAAATCACTGCCTCCCATTTCTGATCACATTAACACAACTGGAAACAAACTGTTTCCGGGAATCTCAAAATACAACCAGATGGCGTCAAACACAGAACCACAAGAATTATGAACTACTGGCTTCCAAGGGGTAGAAAGTCACAGAAGTGAGTGGGATTGTTGCATGTGTGTGTGAGCGGGTGTGTATATGGCGTGACAGGTGTAAGAGCAGGAGACTACCCGCTTGGCTAGCAGGTGTTCCCTGGGAGGCAGGGCAAAGGACTCAGAGCAGCTGCGGAAGCTTGGAAGCTTTCACTGGGGGCTGGGCCACAGGCAGGAGGAGCTCCTGGAGGGAGCTCAGCTGATGGGAGAAGGGAGAGAGAAGGAAAAGAGGAGCCAACAGGACTGGGGAAGGGACAATGGGGCATCTCAGACAGAGCTGGACAGGTGAAGGGCAGACGAGGAGCCCTGCCACCTCAGACCAGCACCAGAACCAAAGGTTTTCTCAGAGTTTGGGTAAATGAAATTCACATCAAAACAAACGGCTGCCCAAAACTCTACCTAGGATTACTAAAGGATGAAACAAAAGAGAATTTCAGCCTCACAGGTAATGAAAGCACGCCAGAAAGACCCACTGCTTTGTCTTCATTTTAAAGAGGGGGAAAGTGAGAAGTAGGGAAGTTTGGTAAATAACTAGACTATCACAACATTAATGGTGGCTGGGCTAGGACTTCCAGGCCACGACTCTCGATAATCACATCAGTGTCAAGTCTGTTCCACTTGTGTACCTTAACTGTGTTTGAGTCTTTTGTTATGTCTGTGAGGTGTTAAGTGTGAGACTCAGACCGGAGGGTAGATTCTCTGTGGTTGTGTTATATGGCACCAGCTGATGGCAACAGAAAATTCAAATGCAGCTCATTATTTCCCTGACCACTTTATCCATTCAAAAAAAATTAAAAAATACCTTTAGAATCCTTATCGGTGCATGTGGTACACGTACCCATAATCTCAACACTCTGGGAGACAGGAGGACTGCAAGTTCAAGCCCAGACTGGGCAACTTAGTGAATTAGTGAGACCCCATCTCAAAACAAACAAACAAACAAACAAAGAGGCTGAGGATGTAGCTCAATGTGAAGGTTGTGAATCAAATCCCTAGTACCATATCACACCAAACATAAAGGACTTCCCTTCAATGAACAACCATTTTAGAGTGAGGAATATTTTATGAAGGAAATCATAATCTTTTAATGAAAGTTAACAGATATTTATCATTTTTGCATCTTGAATGCCCTTGGAAACTTGTTCTCCAACCCGTGGCACTACTGGCAGGGTGGAGCCTCGCAGGAAGTTTTGGGTCTTTGGGGTGTGAACACACAGAGGACTGTGAGCGCTGTCTCTTCTTCCTCGCTCACTTCCTTGCCACGTGCTGCAGGCTCTTGCTCTCCCGTGTGCTCCCTGCTGTGGTGGGCTCCCCTCCACAGTCCCAAGAGCAGCAGGACCAACAGCCCATAGGTGGAAACCCCTGAAGCCATGAGCCAAAATGAATCTTCTCACTTTATAAGGTTCTTCTATTATGCTATAAAAACAGAAATGTGACCAACACAGTATATCCAGATAGTTCCTGGCTTACAATGTTATACTTAGATTTTTTTTTTAACTTCACAAAGGTACAAAATCAATGCATATTTAATGGAAACTGTACTTTGAATTTAGACCTTTTCTGGGGCTGCTGATAGGCCCTATGCCACCTTCTTATGAGGCTGTGCAGCAACATTGCTTTGTAGTTCCAGCCAGCCACACCTTCACAAGGAGAAAGAAAGAGCTCTACGGCATTCTATTTTACTGAGCAGGGATGGATGGTAGGCTGGGGGAATTGCATTTCCAACTGACCACATTTTCAACTTATGATGGGCTTGGCAGGCTGTATCTTTATGACAAGTGGAGTGTCATTTGTAGTAGGAATGCATATTGTATTTCATCCACAGATATGACTGAGAACTTAATATGACTGAAGGAAACTAGATCAAGAAAACTGAGGATTATTTGTTCTCAGAATTTTGTGTGAGTTTGAATTTGTGTGTGTGTGTGTGTTGGGGGAGCAAGTAGAGGAAGAAAGAAGGAGATAGCAAAGAAGAAGAAAGAAGGAGATGACAGAAGGGAAAAATTAATAATCAGCTGTAAATTCCCACAAAGATCTGGAAGTAGGCAGGCGTCTCCACTTGTGGATTTGTTAATGTTGAAAGGAAGTGCTTTCTCTTGGTCTCAGCTCTGCTGGGGGTCTTCAGATTGGTTCCTTGCAAGACTGAGTGAGGCAGTAGCTCTGTCCAGCAGGTCCCTATCTTCATCCCCAGAGTCGTACTCACCGAGTGGAGGAGGGAAATACCTAGGCGGGGATTCTTAGATCCATGCCATGCTTCACCTCCAAGAGTCACCCAATGTGGACAGCAGGATGACCAGAATGGAAAGCTCCAGAAAATTATTTTCTTTCACGACCCACGTCTCTCTGATTCTCATGTCTAGTTTTGACTACCTTTCCTCTCTTTTCATTCATCTTTGATGCTTTTATATCCTATGTGAGGGAACAACTAGTTCTGGACTCTACCTGCCCTTGCTTGATCATCATTTGTGCTTTCCCAGCAGTGCTTCCTCACTGTTTAGTTACAAGAAGGCAAGAATTCCTCAGGGTACAGCTGGAAGGATTTGATGGGGCGGAATGAGGAAGAAATACGAACTAATATTTAAAAATGTTACCTCATCATCCTGTCATGCAGAATGCAAAGACTGTTTCTTTTTCCATCACTTCTTTCCAAGTGGGTGCCATACACAAGTCTTGAAGGCAATCTAAGAGAAGGTGATGACATCATTTAATAGAGCTGAAAGAGCACATAGTGAACCAAAGGAAGTGAAAAAGCACACAATGAAAAGGCACATCTGGGAGAATTTCCTGTATATGCACAGTAGATTTGCTATGTGTGCAAGAAGGACGGGAATTTACAGTGTGGACAGAAACCACATCTTGGCCTCTGAGACTAAAAACCTGTTAAAATCACTGCAGAGTTTGTGCAGTCTAAGTTGGTATCCTCTGGCTATTGGCCAACATAAGGTCTGAAATCCAGACCTCCCAGAGACTTAGTACAGAAGATTGTTAATGCTTTGGAAGTGTTTCAAATCTTTCAGGCCATTAGAGGACCATTTGGTGTTCTAAGAAAGATAATTCACTAAAACAAATTGAAATAGTATGAAATAGCTAATGAAACTTTTCAAGTCAGTTGTTTATTTCTCACTCCCTCCCAGGCCAAGGGAGCCCTCGTTGGCATCGAGCTCTTCTCACCCATTCTCACATAGGCTTTGGGGCATTATCTTATTTCTACACTTGGACCAATCTGCCGGAGTCCAGGGTGTCACATAGAAACAGGCCGAGCTGGAGGGAGAGACAGCCCAAGACACGTGAAGGGAGGTGGCAGTCAGGAAGAGGAGCTGTGTCTAGACAGGAAGAACGATGGAGAGAAGGGAGATTAGATGATTAGCTATAACTGAGGCATTTCAGTGCCTCGCTAGGGACATCTGAGAGGTTTTGCTTCATGAATACACAATCTTGCAAGCAACTCAGACAAGCAATAGTTATCACCTGGCATTGGGGTTTTAGGAAGGAGGGAAATTAGGAAACTGCAGCCATGGTAGATAGTGAAGGGGCAGAATGGAGAGGTGGTGGTTTGGCTTGGCTTGAATTAGGAAAGGATTCTTGAACACTGAAGATTCGTTGTATATGGTAGAGTCCCAGAGAAACTGAAGGCACAGGTCATAGGGGGTCTCCCATGTCTGTTCTTGGAGACCACGGAAAGGCTGATTTAGAAGAGATATTTACCCCTGACACTTTGGAGAAGTTCCCAGAAATTTCTGAGGTTTTGCATGGCAAATTCCAAGATTTGTCACCATTTACATTTTGTTCCAAAATGTCTTTGTTGCTGCAGAGCTGACCAGAGCCCCTCGGATGCTAAGCCAAGCAGCGCTCCCAGCCTCCACATGCTGCTGCCAGTGGCACCTTCCACTGAGCTGAGCACTCATCCCGGGAGCTGCTGAGCTGTTCACTTAACCCTGAGGCCTCTGAGATGCCAAGTGGGGAAGCCCTCCTGTTGTGGTCTGGAGATGATCTCTTCCCTACCTATTCACACATCATGAATTTGGTGCCCTAAGAAATGATGCTGAAAGATGAAGAGATTTTAAAAGGTGGAGTCTGGAGTGTGGTGATTAGATTCTGAGTGAAAAGCTTGAATGGGATCTATTAGAAGTGTGCTTCTTACTACAAGAGGAGGGGTTGATATAAAAAGAATAAGTCTAATCCCTCATTGGTCTTTGTTACTTTCCAGAACCATGAGTTAAATAAACCTCCTTTCTTAATATAGTACCCAGTTTCAGGTATTTTGCTATTGCAACACAACACAGATAGAAATTAAGAGGCTATTTGTCTCTCTTTGTCTTTTATACTTTGCCTCAGGAATAAAGTTTCTTTTTTATTTTTCTGAAGTATTCAAGGAGCATTTCCCAGAATCTGTGATTCCATTTTCCCTCTTTGATCTGTTAAGGCAGGACTGTGCAGGGACAGAGGCAATCTTGTTTTTCTCTCCAGTTTCCCTCTTAGATCTGTACTAAGTAATGCTCTTTATGGATCTCAAGCAACAAGCCTGTGGTATTCCTAGCTCTCAGGAAGATGTTGGATGGGAAGATACATTTCATTAGAATGATTCCTTTCTTGGTTTTTGTTCTCAAAAGTTTGATTATGAAACAAAATATGATGTGTTTTTTTGAGAGAAGGGAGAAATATTCTTCAGGTAAAAAGAGCAAAAAGATCCTCGAGTTCTTGGGCAATTCTTTCCCTTGACAGTGCCTTCATAGAGAAGAGAGAAACTCAGAAAGGAGGTGTCCCTAAAGTTTCCAAATTCTCCACACTGGGACTCTTGCTGGGCACTAATCTCCCACCTCTGATTCTTTTAGAAGTACATGTCCACTTGCATCCTCAGAGAGGGCTTGAACCCTAGGAAGCAAGCAGCATGATTGTGTCTTCCAAAGATGGAAGGCTCCCCATCTTGCATACTGTTTTACAGTGTGACCTTGCCTATGCCACTGAAAGATGGCATCTGTTTCCCCTCCCTTGAACCCAGGCTGACCCTGTGGCTCTCTGGAAACCAACAGTCTTTGGTAGCCATGATGCAACCTAAGACCCAGAGTGAAGTCGCAAAAGGTGATGCAGCTTCTGCTTGGTTCTCCTGGGACACTCAGGCATAGAAAACTAGCTGGAGGAGATCTATGTGCCCCGAGACCACGGCAGGAGAGAGATACATGTAATTGTTCCAGATTGCCAGCCCAGCTGGGCGCCAGGCCAGCAGCTAGGCTCACATGCTAGCCATGTGCTGAGGCATCTGGGATGTTCACACAGTGGAATGTTTGGATGCTCAGAGCCCCAGCCTTCACCTTATTGCAGCCACATGAGAAGCCAAAGGAAGAATGGCTACCTCAGCAACTCCCAATAGTCAGAAGCAAAACAGAATGACCGTTTTAATTCAGTAAACTTGGGGTGGGGTCCTGTTCAATATAGTGCTCAAATCTTTAGCCAGAAAAATCAAGTAAGAGAAAGAAATAATGGTGATATATAAAGAAGGAAGGAGTCAAACTATCCCTATTTACAGATAACATAATCATTTACATAGAAGACCCCCAAAAATCTCTACTAAAAGGCATACAGAATAAATAAACAATTAGCAGCATGTAAAAGCAATACACAACAACATTCCTGTACTCCAACAATGAACACAGCTAGAAGGAAATCAGGAAACCAATCCCCTTCACAACAGCTTCATAAAAAACATCAAATGCCTAGGAATTAATCTAGCCAGGGAAATGAAAGGCTTCTATAAGAAAGACTACAGCATTCTATAATAGGTTAATGAGGACAACAAGATTAAAAAGACATCCGCTGTTCCTGGGTAGGCAGAACCAATGCTGTTAAAATGGTTATTTTACCAAACGTGATAAATAGATTTAATGTGATATCAGTCGAAATACCAACAGTATTCTTCACAGAACTAGGAAAAAACCCTAAAATTTATATGGAACCAGAAAAGGCCCAGAATATCCCAAGCAATCCTGAGCAAGAACACACAGAGGAGGCATCGCAATATCAGACTTCAAATTATATTACAAAGCTGATACGGCGATACAAACAGCATGACGCACAGAAACAGATGTGAGGGTGCCCAAGCAGCCCCAGGCACCTTCAGCCATCTGAGCTTTGACAGACATACAGTGAAAACATACAGTGGAAAAAAATAATCTCTTTAAACAAATGTTGCTGGGAAAGCTGGCTGTCCACATACAAAAGGATGAATATAGATCCATGTCTCTCACTCTGTACTGAAGTCAGATCAAAATGAACAAAAGACTAAGGTATAAAAATGGAAACACTGAATTTGCTGGGAGACTAAGTAGGAGAAACCCTTGAAAACATAGACATAGGTAAAGACTTGCTGAACAGAACCTCAGAATGGGAAAATTTTTGCCAGCTACTCCTCAGGCAGAGGAATAATATCCAGAATATATAAAAAGGTAAAAAAAAAAATTAGACATCCTCAAAATACAAACTGGGAAATTAAAATGAATAGATATTTCACAAAAGAAAAAGTACAAATATCCAATAGGTACATGTAAAAAATGTTCCAGCAACTTTGGGTTATTAGAGAAATATAAATCAAAATGACACTAACAGTCTTACTAGAATAAATAATTATCATCAAGAACTCACACAAGCAAACAAACAAACAAAAGTCCCAGAAAAACAGTTGCTGGATAGTTTGTAGGGAAAATGGGACTTTTCTACATCTTTGGTAGGAATGTGAGGTAGCATAACTATGGTGGAAATCAATTTGGGGATTCCTTAGAAAACTAAAAATAAAATAGAAATTTCATTTGACCCAGCTATTTTCCTTCTAGATATCTTCTCCAAAGGCTAAAGACTTTATATTATAGTGACACAAGCACATCTATGTTTACAGCAGCACAACTCATAACAGCTAAGTCCTGGGTGTGGCCTGGGTGTGAACACCGGCAAATGAGTGGATAATGACAGTGTAGTACTAGTCAGTCCCACACAGAAAAATAAATTCCAGTCCTTCGTAAGAAAATGGATGCACTCTGAGACCATAATGCTAAGTGAAGTAAAGCAGAGATGAGAAACCCAAAGAATAAATAATTTAATGAGAAAACTGAAGGAAAGATGGAGGTAAACAGTGGACTTTGTGGAGATGGGAAGGACCTGGAGACCAGGGGAGGCAGGAGGGAAGGGGGCGGGGGGTAAGGAAGACCAAGGTGCAGTAAGTGCACGGGCCAAGGCCCAGCGGTGATGCCTTTACTGTGCATCACAAAGCACACTGATAAAAACTGGGGGAGGTGGGTTTGCCTCACAGAAATAGTAACCCACGTGACCCTCTGAGTTGCCCCCTTCCCTCCCAGGAGGGACACACCAGTGAGTGGAATCCTACTATCACTTAGTGGGTTGCCCCCTGCCCTTTAGAATACGGGTTCTGAGACAGATAGATAGGACCTCCCTTTTGCTGTAAGGACATGACTTTTCCTGCAAACATAAGCTTGCAGTTTACGCTTTTTCTGCTTCTCTGTTCCAGGTCCTGAGAGGCCCAGGCCAGAGCCCCACGGAAGGCAGCAGGCGCTGCTGAAAGCACATTCAGCCCGCAAGTGCAGGAGACTCCGGCTGCTGCTCAGCTGGCTCCCGCTGCTGCGAGCCTGGCTGCCAGGCACCTGCCGCCTCTCAAATCATTAGGTGAAAGCTGGGAAAGAGGATAGAAAATATGAATAAGGGTTTAAGGTTAAATTTAAGGCTTAGGCGTGGGGCCAGAAGTGTTAACAAATGCTGTATGTTTAAGTTGAAATTAAGATAGCACAAAAAGTTTTTTGTTTCTGTGTTTTCAACCTATAGAAATTCCAGTCTTCATTTGAATGGGAAAATGAATTCAGCCTCTAGAACTGATCAGTCAGCGGGTGATGCAGAAGTAACTTTGGATTTGTTTCTACTTTTCCCTCTGTTGGGCCGATTGCTATAATAGGTCTTTTCAACTGAGAGATCACATTCCCCTTTAGAAGTTGCTCTAGGTCTCCATATTTTATTATGAAGCTTAATTAAAATGTAAACCCAGACTTTTGAAGTGTTCTGCTTTCTTTTTGTATGAATTTTAAAATGAAATATTCAATTTTGTCTCTCCGATTTTTTCTGTTTAGCTAATAAGTCAAGGTTGGCCATAACGCTTAGCTCAGGTTCCTTGTAAAGAGTGTTGATTCTAGGGTTGGAAACAAAAGTAAGCATTTATGATAGGGAATTTTCAGTCTAATTGTCCAAAGCCTCCCGGTAGTTCTGTATAAACATATCACAGTCATGAGTTTCATCACTGTTCATCTTGCAATAGATCAGTTTAAATTCCTACTACTCTCTATTTTTCGTTGGAAAGGAAATTAAGTCAGGACAGTTTTAAGAGAGACTGCCTCTGTATGAATAACACTTGTTTCACAGCATTTGTACTATTGGTATCTTGGTATATTACATTAAGAAAGGGAGTTAGACATTTCTGTAAGCCCAGCACTTGGAGGTTGAGGCAGTTCAAACCCAGCCCGGGTAACTTAGCAACTTAGCAAGACCATGACTTAGAATACACAATAAAAAAAATCATGAGGATGTTACTCAATGTGAAAATCCTGTGTTCCATCCTTAGTACTGAGACGGTGTGGGGTGGGAGGATGGGATAGGTACAGGTCTGTGATGCTTGTGAAAAAGGCTCACTTCTTGATGTTCTTTTGCCAACAAATGAGATAAATCACACTTCCCTATGGCCTTATTCTGTGTATTGACAGCTGGCATCACATAATTCTGCACTTAGTTAAATACAATTCTGTGTTTTTACTTTGACATTTTTGGCCTTGTTTTAAATCCCAGGATGGCTAGAACAGCTAGACTTCAATAAACACTTGCTGGCTTGTTCTGCCCTCTGGTTTAAAAAGCTATGGTCTTGAAACCACAAGACATTCTTGAATGAAATGAGGCCTGAGTAGTTCTGACCATCCTTTATTTCCATGAGGCTGGATGAATGTGTGCTGTGTCTCATAGTTCTTAAACACATATTAAGAGAACATTTTCCACTGAAATCATTGATATGCTTCATTAAACAAACAGAATTTTTATTAGGAGTGTGTTTATTAAATGAGCATGTACCCTTGTTTTGAAGACAGCTGGGGAGACGTGAGCTATTTTCTTCATTAGTAGCAGGTCTTAGGGTCCCTGAAGGCAGGACCCAGAGAAATTGCATGGCAATGAGCACTGGGTGTCTGCTCTGGGGGAAGTGTTAGGAAGAATGTGTGAACCTTGCAGCCAGCCCTGTCCTGGGCTGTGGCAGTGCCAAGGAAGGCATGTGAGGTGGATGTAGCACATTCTGAGACAACCAGTTCCCAGCAATAGAACCTCCCCTTCCTGTCTGCTGCAGGCTCTGTCCTAGGAAGGTGTTGGGTGCAAGGTGGCCAAGGTACATACTGAAATCTGGATCTTCATTTGGCATCTCCATGTGGGGGCCCTCCTCCTGAGACCCCGAGAGATGGCGGCGGCATACAGCAAGGTGGACTTGGTCATGGCATTTGCGGTCATACCAACTTGGGTCAGGAGTTTTGCTTTCTTATGTTCTGCTTGTGTGACTTAGGGTGCTTGTTTAATCTTTCATAGCCCAGTTTCCTCACTCTTCAGTTGTAGCCCATAATGCCTATCTCAGAGGGTTGCCGGGATGATTAATTATGTAGTGTTCATAGGACTACCCTGGTGGTTCTTGGTGACACATGGTAGCTTTCGGAACTCTTAGGTGTGCTTACAAAGTGACTCCCATGGCATGGCCAAGTTCTCTTGTGTTGTCAGACAGCAAAGACTCTGAGAGAAACTGTAAATGCCACTAGGCTGGACTCACAGCAGGGCTGGCAATTGCGTGCAGTGTGCTGAGAACAAAAACCAAACCAAACCAAACCAAACCAAACCAAACCAACCCAACCCAACCCAAACCAAAACAAAACAAAACACAAATTGTTTCTCCTAGAAGCAAAGAGATCGTCTCCTTTTGTAGGAAAAATTTGTGTTCCTTTCCAAAATGTCATTATACAAAGAGGCGTCAGACAAAGGAACATTTAGCTACTATTGTCTCTCTGCTTTTCCACAGGGGATGGCTCACTGGTGGACAGAGTTGAAAATGGCTCTATTTACAGTGGCAAATCTGCTTATGGATTATGCTTTTATTTCAATTTCTCATCTAGACTTTATTATCCAGGCATGTGAATGAAAAAAGCATCTGAGTTTTAAAATATGGGGCATTTAGTCCTGGGAGCATCTGGCAAGTGCCACTCAGACTCTGCGGAACCATGTCTATGGCTCCTTGGAGGGAAATTCCATCTCTTCTTCCTTCCAAGATAGTTTAGCAGGGCAAGATGGTGCTGTCCTTTCCCTTGCATTTCAGTGACAATGACATTATTACCGATATCAGTAATGTGGGCACCTTTGAGCACAGTGTGTGATGGAGGCAGATGCAATCTGTCTGGGACAAATGCCCTAGGGCCAAGTAGCTTTTATGGACTTAAACAGGACATGGGATGGGAGAACAGACTGCCTGTCCCCTGTGATGTTTCAGGTGGGACAAAAGCCCTGAGGATGCTTGAGATTGAGGAAAGTTTAAAGCAGAGTGAGGCCAGGGTGAGTAGATGGGAGACCCAACAGGTATCAGAGTCTGTGCACCCTTCTGTGGTGCTCCAAAAGCCTTTTCAGAGTGTTCTGGAAAATGCTTTCTCATGTTCCATAAAAGTGTCACCAGTTATTAGTTGCAGCTTTCTTTTGGGTGCGAGAAAGCCCCCAGTTCTCTAGGAACAGCACTGTCACAGCCTTTGCACAGTGCAGAGGGCCTAGAATGTCTCTACTCTTCTATCTCCTTCTTACAAACTCTGCCACCCTGGTGGCTCCCTGGACAATGGCCCCACCCTAGGTATTAGGGTGTGCTAAGAGGCATTGATTGGGCTGTGGTCACCAAAGAAGCCTCACAGAGCTTCAGGAAAGAGAGAAAAATCTCCCCAGGATAAGGCTAGAAGAATTCAGAACCTCCATGACATGATAGGGACACAGATGGCTTCCTATGGCCCAGCCAAAGTTGTTCTTCTATTTCAAACATCATCACAGGCTTATTGATCACTGAGATGTGTTTTAAAAGGCATCAGGAATCAGGCAATTAGTTCCTGCTTAATGCAGAATGTCAAAACAGGCCTACTGATTCTCTAATTGATCCATGGATTCATTATTTCCCTGCATAGATAGATCTGGACACATGCCAATGGGAGTAATAAAGTAGAAGAAAAATTTGAGAATGTAGAGCCAGTGATTTATTAGCCCCTCCCAAGAAGTACATTGTTTATCCATTCATTTCCCAGTAATTGCTTGTTTATTAAGGTAGCCACTCAAAGAGAAAGCCTGTAACAGGGACTGTCAATAACGAAGAGGGGCCATGTGTTTACTGTAAGTAGGTGGTATTGTGTTCCAGTTATTAGAGCTCCTAGATCATAAAGAAGCAGAGGGAGAGAGCCTGCACCATCAACAAATATGACCGCCATTCATTAGGAAGGGGAATGTCACTAGAACATGTGGGCTTGAGGAAGCTGCTTCAAGTAAATGGAGCCAGTTATGAAGTGAGATAGCTTCCCTCTTTCAGCCATGTCCTCAGGAGATAGTAGGTTACACTGTAGAGTTCAGCATTTCAGGGTTCCACACACTTTTCCCTGCATAACTGCATTAACAACTGTTTGGCCTTGTTGGATCCATTTCTTAACATCCCTGATCTGAGAGGTAAAATAGTGAAGATGGGCTTAACTGATAATATGGACTTGGCAGTTAAGATGATTGGCTCTGCCAGGCTCTGCCACTGTCTTAGCTGTGGGACCTCTCTGTGGCTTGCTTCCTTTAGTAGTCAGGTGTGGGGAGGATGTGGATGGGTCCGGAGTGGTTGATAGCCAGACTTCAATAGTCCTGGCCACAGGGAAGCTGTACACAAGTGGGCAATGGCTGTGGACAGCTCTTCATCTCAAATGTCTGGTTTCTCTTCTCTATTAATGCAGCCTCTTACTGCTTACTGAGCACTGCCAGTTCTCAGTTTAACTAATTCACGTATTGCACATTTGGTACTCTTCACTGTTCTCTCTTTTTAGACCTATTGCTTTCCAGATCCTCTGAGAGCAACATCTCCAAAGGCTGCACCGAAGTCTTACGTGGGCAGCACTACACCCTGTCCTCTTTATTCCAGATGTCTCTCAAAAGCTGCTGTTCTTCATGCCCCGCCCCTTCCTCTGGCAAGATTCTGTCCTGGGTTCTAATTTTTTTCTTCGTATTTTATACTGTCTCTAATTCATCTTTCTGTAAACTGTTACTTTCAGGAAAAGAATCTAACAATGATGTGATGGAACCACCTGGATGATTCTTCTTGGAAGAAGAGCAGTTGTCTCCATTTGGCCCTATCTCCTTGTTGAGATGTGTACAGAGCTGGCTAGGCCATTTCTTTGTCTCTTTAACTGGCCTTAGGCAATGTAAACTGGGCTGGCTGAGGAGCCCATGTGCAATCTTTGAAGCAAGACAACAGTCACTGTTTCCCTACCCAGCAACTCCCAGAAAAAGATGGTTGAGCCAGGCAGGATGAAGAACTATGCTCCACGCCATCGCCTGGGGCTGAGATTTGAGGAGGAAGCGACTTCCCAGTGCAAAGAAGACTGCACATTAGAGCTGAAGCACTGACCCCAAAATATTGGATATGATCTCAGTTGTATTATGCAGATTACTCTTTGCATTTCTTGCCCTCTGCATATCCCAGAGGTGATCTCAGGCCTTCTATCTAGCCCAACTCGTAGCTCTCATGTATTTCCCACCTCTCTATCACTCATCCGCAAGCCACTCCACACATGGAGAATAAATAAAACCCACGTTAGGCCCTGGGTCATGGCCTTTGTTCTGGTGAACCACCATCTTGGCTGGACTTAGCACCCCTTGGTTCCCTAAAACTTTATATGTTTTAGTATCTTTATTCTCTCCTTAAGTTGTATTAGATGTGGTAGACTGGAATTAACTCACTAGAATTCC